AAAAAAAAAAAAGACTGATTGGTACTGTTTTCTGATCAAATGAAAAGAATCCCATTGTTTAGGTCAATTGTGGCTATAAGAGCTTCGGAAATATGGCAGTTTCTTTGGTGATAATAGGATGAAATGAAGGGAGGAGAAGTTTCTAGAAGAAGGGGGTACTCTTCCAAGAAGTGGTGCTGGACATACAAATAAAAAACAAAGTGTCCACCACAGAATACCTCAGCCTGGACCATGCATTTCTCAAACCCTATTGCATTTTTAACATTTTGAACTCTCACTTTTAATTATTGTCAGTGTGATAGAGATTTAAGAAAAATATATATGCATATTTTTTACTTTGGGGGCTTGTTTCTTTCTCATGGATTTCAATTTAAAATTTTGAATGGTTTCTTTACCCATCTTAACAAAGATCTCATATTCCCTGAAATCCACAGAACAAAGCAACCAGGCAATGAGAATTGGAGTGGAGACAGGTCTGCCTGGCCCTTGTAGTCAGCACTTTTCTAGTACCGGGTAGAAGGATGAGGTTAGTGGAGTTCAGCTCCCCTGGGAGCCGATGAGCTCTGCAGGTGTTTGGGACTAGTGATTACAGTGTTGGCAAAGGGCTTGATCCTTTGAGGCAGATCTTTTAGTTCTACTAATTAGTTGCCCAGCCCTCTCCCCCTTCCTTCCACCAGTGACCTTTTCTTTGATCTTAATTGTGTATGGAAAATGATTGCAACTAGAATTATATAATGCAATAAACATTTGTTAGAAAAATTAATTTGATGAAACCAAAATGATCTAAGTAACATTAAGTAGCTCTGGACAATTCAATTTCTTCTATGCAGAATGTAATCTTTGACATCTATCAAGTCTATTTTTGCATATAAATGTGAGTTGGGGAAGCAGGAAAAAACCTACATAACCAAAATTCTACCTCAAAATTTGGACACCTGACAAAGCTGCCTCCTAAGCAGTAATTATATAACTGGACAACTTACATAGTTGAACTAGTTATGCTTTATTCTTCCAAATCTAAAAAGCAAACACAAATATGAAGAACGTGACATATTTTCAAAGTTTTAAAACATGTATAAATACATGTATATTTTTAAAGGAATAATCCCTCTGATTGAAATAACAGCTAACTCAATTTTTAAAGTAGGGTATATACAGTAATTATTCAATGGCTTTAAATAACTTGGCATTGTTCCTTAAGTAGAAGCATTATTGCTTAATTACAGATGAGTCATTTCCTAGTTCCAAGCAATTAATCAGTGTTCCCTAAACTTGCCTGAAATTGGAACCACCTGGGATTTTGTTAAACATACAGAGGCTGGGGCTTACCCCAAGATCTACTAAATTGGAATTTCTAGGGAAGGTGTGTGGGAATCAGTAGAGCCAACAAGATCCCAAGTGTATCTTATTATTAGACAGGTTTAGAAAATAGAGTTGGATTCATTTAGCAATGGTATTTACTTCTTGATTACTATTGGATAGAGTGACCCGAAGAGAATTTTATCCTTAGAAGAATCAGGACATTAGGAAGAACTCAAGGACTACAAATCAATGCTTGTTCTACTTTATGCAAATACATCTTCTTGTTATCTGAAACAAGTACTGTGCATTTACATAGTCTCCCTTTAGACATTCAAGTTCTGCAGAAAAATTTACTTATTCAATAATAGGCCCAAGATTAAATTCATTACTACTTTGCAAAAAGAACATAAGGAGGAATACACCTCTTATTGAGCATCTACCACACACCCAGCATGATCCTGATGGTTGGTTTACAGAAATTAGTTCCCTTAATCTTAGCCATTGATGGCATAAGTATTTATTTTTATTTTGTAGATACTGAAACTGAAGAAATGCTTGAAGAAATTATTAATTTTCCCAAGGTCATTCAGTAAGCAAGTGAAATAGGGCTCAAATCCACCAACGACAGGGTCTTCCCATAATACTAGCCTTCAAAGTTTAAATTGCAAGTCAAGGAATACAGATTTGCTAGACAGAATAACCATGGGTTTGTGAATTTTTCTCCTCTGGAAGCCAAAAAGAAAAGAGAGAGAGAGAGAGAGAAAGGCAATTTCTCATTGGATTGAGCAAGAGAGGGAAAAAAGGACAGGAGATTTCAGAAAGACTAACTCTTTTTTTTTTTTTTTTTTT